CTCCGAAACATATATAAATTTTATTAATTTTGTTGAAAAAAAAAAACGTTTATATAAGACCAAAGCCCAAAAGGCGCACCTAAAAATTCATTAAAAGAACTTGTTTTGATTCTAAAAAATCCTCTAATTGATCATCTCAACCTCAAGATGTATAGACATGAGAAAAAATAGATTTCAAGTCTTAAAAATAATATATCTTGTAATGCATTTTTAGACTATCAATTTTCAAGTTTTTCTAGTGTTCATAGATCTGCCCGATCTACACCGTCTAAAGCTTTAAATTTTATGATTAGATATGAAAATAAATTTTCAACCCATCACAAAGATTTCCAATATTGAAACATCTTTCGATGCTATTTGAAGGTGCGCTTTACTTTCATTGTTTAGAGCCTCAACTTTATACAAACCACACCATTTTTATAGTCAATGGCAGCGCCAATATATAACTTTCTACACGTAAAACCTCACTTTGATAGGGCTGCAGCTCTATCAATATAAGTAAAACCTGACTTTAAAACTCATCAAAAATTACAATTCAAGTACTAGAAAACCTTTACATCGATCATCTTGGCTTGAACATTCAGGTTGTTAAAAAAAAAAAGATTTCAAGCTCTAAAAATGTGATTATTGTAATAAATTATCTCGACACTCCATTTCGCCGTAAAAATAAGTGTTCATAGATGCACAATATTTGTACTATTTTTTGAGTTTCTTATTTTATTGTTGATGTTGAAAAATTGATTTTAGAGCCATCACAGAGATTTCCACTGTCAGAAGTGCTTTTTGGATGAAGATTTGAGGTGAAGCATTATTTTGTTTCTACAAAACCTAAGACTTCTGAAAACCTCGTCCAATGATCAGTGGGGTTCTAAGATGTGGCTTTGCCTTTTATCATAAAGCCTAGGCCTTACGCTAACTGCACACTTTGAGGATTTGAACTTCTTACTCCTCATTTCCGAATTGGTTTTATCTAACTTTTCTCGACTTCAATTCTTAGTAAGGAGAACACTTGTTTTAATTATGATATTAACAGAGAAAATTGTTTCATGCGGGCTGGACCACATGTCCACAAAGTATAATGTACCCATCTTTAAGATGGATGCAAGTAGGTGTTTCATCTAAAAACAATGGAAACTAATTGTCTATATGTTTTCTTACTAAAATTATTATTTTTAGTTTTTAAAATTTATTTATTTATTCATATTCATGATCTCCATGTTAGAGATTACGTGTCCTTAAAAATTAAATAAAAAACATTATCTCAAAAATAGATTTATTAAGAAGCCCATATTTCTACATATGCGGACTTGGTCGAATAGAAACTGGGTCCCTTTAACACAAACCTCAAAGGCATTGCATTACCCTACAACTCTCACCCTCTCACTCTCTCCTGTACAAATACTCAATGCATTGTACTACCCTACAATAACCATCATTCTCCCATTCCATTACTACAAGGTTACCCCAACAATCCAACATCAAAACTCCACCACTCCTACAGTATCATTATTCATATAAGGATGGATCTAAACAATCAAATTAAGGCTCACTTCAAAAATTAACTAGATTTTTTTTTTTTTGAAGTCCAAAAACCATTAAATCTGATCATCTCTGACTTTAAGTTTTAGAAATAGTGCATTTTGTAATGCAATATAATAGTGCATTTTGTAATGCAATATCTAGACCACCTTTTTTTTTAGATTTTCAAGTGTTCATAGATCTGCTTGATCTACACTTTTTCTGAAGCTTTAATTTTCTTTAATTAGAGATGAAAATAAATGTTGACGCCATTATTAAGATTCTCTACACTATAACGACATTTTTAATACTATTTAAAAGTGCATCTTACTTTGATTGTTCAGGGTCACAGCCTCATACAAACTACACCCTTTATACCCCCAACAAAAGTACATATGCCCCAATAAGATTAAAAAAAAAAACCCAAAAAAAAAAAAATGAAAGCAAAAAGAAAAAAATTGTCTAATTAAATCCCATCCATACATTCAGGGGGAACGACGGGGAACCGGGACTTGTCTGTGCAATAATCATATATCATGTAATGCATTCTCACCCACTTATATTTTCTTGCTTGGTAAGGGCTTAGTTGCTGATAAGGCTGAGTGTCCCACCAATTTGATGGGTTTGAAGGACAAGATGAAGGTCCAGGAACTGAGCAACCCTCAATGTCAAAGTCTTTCATGTAGGCCAAAAATGGGGCTTGGGCCCAATTTATCTTCTCAAGCCCACCACGAGTGGCCCAATTATCAGCATTCCATAGGGTGGAGTAGACTCCCATGGGTTGAGATGTAGGATAGGACACCCCTCTGATCATGTTATTCTTGTATACTCTTATAGGAGTGTCATCCACTGAAAACCTGCGTGACCACTCTAATTGATTAGGATTTTAATATCGAAAAAGTTTATATAGAGCCTAGGCTCTAAACAATCAAAGTCAAACTACCTCAAAATTTCACTAGAAGAGGTTGTTTTGATGCTCATATATCTTCAAATTTATCATCTCGACATCAAGATGTATGGACATAAAAAAAAAAAATGGATTTCAAATTTTAAAAATAATGCATCTTGATCGTCAATTTTCAAGATTGTCAAGTTTTCATAGATCTACTTGATCTATACTATTTTTTAAGCTTTAAAATTTATAATTAAAGATGAAAAAATAATTGAAATGCAAAGATTTCCAGTATTGAGACCATATTTCTCAACACTATTTGTGGGTGCGATATACTTTGATTGTGAGCTTCGGCTCTATATAAACTGCATCTTACATAAAATTACAATCTTACTTTAAAAGTCAGGTTACATCAATCTACATAGTCTATTTTAGTTAGATAGAAGAGATTTAACATATGTTTTAAGACAATGTCACAAAGTGACATGTTTTTTAAGATAGCGTCAACTTTACACTCTCCAAATAAAAAGAATACTTTAGACCATATTTCTGTAAGTATGGTTGGAACCTTTTATAAAAGTATTCCCTTAATATTAAAAGTATTGCCTTAATATGAACATAAAAGAATGGATTTTAATTAATTAACTATGCTCACTCATGACCATAATATTTATGTACACCCTTGGGCAAATATTTTCTTTTAATCCACTTTGTTTTTAATAGTCTTTTTTGGAGAAGAAATATAAACTGATTACAAGCATAGTGCCTGATGGACTGCTACCACATACTTCTTGGGGTGAAGCACTAGACATAAATTAGGATTCAAAGAAAAAGACAATAGAAAGGTCCCTCTCTCTAGAAATCATGTAGCCCTATGTCATTTTTGGAGATGAAACTGTGCATGGTTTATGACATCTTACTCCCCCAACATCAAGTTTTTTTTTTTGGAGATGTAACGCATTTTGGAAATATCTCTTGGTCAAAAAACACATTTTGGAAATATAAACACATTTTCAAAGTTTATTTTTCCGAGCTAAAGTTTTGAGCTCCAGATCATATAGCTAAACAGATTTTTTCGAGCTAATAGTTTCGACAATATCTTTTATTTGAAGCAAAAAGTAATTTTTAGGAATAATAATCAATAAAAGATGCTACATTTATTGTCCACCAAAAAGACAACCTACATTCACCTAAAAGTAGTGGACACAAATTTCTCGATTTCTTTGTATATATATATATATATTTGTTTCTATCTCACAGATGATCTATATGTTCGCAAAATTTGAAATCATGTCGAACTTTACTTTTCAAAGTGGCTAATTGCAATACCAGCCCATCGTTTGGTTTGTATTAGGGTTTTAAAATCCGACAATCTGGATCGGCAATCGCCTTTCCAAATGAGATTCGACAGAGGTGGCGATTCGGGTTCCCATCCCTTGGTGCGGATTCATCCAACGCCTTTTATTTGCTAATTTCTTTACCAATTTTGTTCGACGATTCAGCCGATCTAGATCACCAATCTAGCCAATCTGGATCAAGATGTAGATGGGCCAAATAAAACCTGATTTTTTGGTTTAAAAACATAAATGGCCCATTTGTGAGTAGAGAAAACCAAACGACAGGTACTTCTTTCTATCTCGACCTCCCATTCTTTTGAAGAGATAAAGCAACTAAATATTTACCAAAAAGAAAAAAAGAAACTAAATAAATGCCTTTAAAGTCAGGGCAGGTGTAGGTGTAGGGGTAAGTGCCTTATCATGAACAATGCATGATATACCTGACGAGCCATAAAGAAGAAAGTAACAGAAAATGCTCAGAGCCTCTGCCTAACAAAAATGACCAAGAGAAGATTGTTTTTATCGAAACTGACCAAGTCCATGGACTTGGGCCCCCTCCATTTTCTTTTTCATTTCAAATAAGTTACCCTAAAAAACCCAAAACTAAAGTAGTGGCACAACAAACAAAGATATTCCCAATGATAATTGACCCTGGCCTTCTTTTGCTATTATTCTCTCGTTTGTTTTTTGTCCAGCAAGGCCCGACAGCCCTGGCCCAGCCCGTTGCCACCCTTACCCACCCTCCGTTTCTCTACCCAGCAAAGAAGAGGAAAATAACACAGAAATCTCTCTCTCCCCTCTAATTCTCTCTCTCTCTCTCTCTCTTAAAATAATGATGTTTCAAAAAGGTATTCTCTCTCACCCATTCCTTTGCACCGCACAAAAAGTGAAAAAATAGAAAAAATCACAATAATGATAATCGATTAAATAACAAACATAATTTAGAACACTAATGAGTGTAAAAGAGGGTAATCACCATCATTTCATTAGAGCCCGTGACCAGCCCCACCACATATTGATTCCACACGTGCGAGACTAAAACTTATAAGTATTTCCCACCTTCCCAATTGAGATAAGCACAAGCTAGAACGCCTTCAAACTCAACAAAATTAAAGCTTACTTAACCCATGAAAAAAATATTAATTTCCCAAAAATTCCAGAGTGGCACCCTATCTTTCTCTTTTATTTATTTATTATTATTATTTTTTTATTATTTTTTTTATTTTTTTTTTAGAGTTCAATAGTGTTATAATCAAACTTGAGATGAAGCATAGCTAACGTCAACAACTAACCATGCGAGTCAAGCTCTATCTGTCTTATTTCATCTCATTTTGGCCTTAATGCTAAACTAAAGGCAATTACTATGTATCCCCAAAGATTAGATTGTAGAGTTACATAAGAGTAAAAAATTATTTGTGGTTTATATAAGGTGAAAAGCTTATGGAGTGAGAGTGGTGTTCAGCTCTATTTATTTTAGTTTTATGGTACATATTAGACACATCCATAGAATAGAGAATTGGGACTTACACTACATGATGGCGATTCCATAGAATAGAGTAAGTGTGAAAGTCAGCAGATGGATCAAACCAGAGGTTCACTCTTTGCTCTCTGTTTCCACTTCCATGAGCATATACATTTGTTTGAACAGTGTAAGGCTGCCCTGATCTGTTGCCCAAAAACTCAAAGTCCAATTCATCTCTTATAGTATCGGTGTCAGAATTCATCTGGACAAAAAAGGAAAAAAACAATTAAAACTCCAATGTCGGGCTCATTTTTTATAGTATCTCTTGATTTATGTAGAACAAATCACCCCATTAAAACTTATGAAATTGGATGACTTACTCTAAACTACCATTAGAATTTATTTCAAAACGTCAGTACAATTGTAAATTGGTGTTAGATATATAAAGCATACATGTACTTGTAGAAGTAAGATTGTTGCTTATATACTATGTCAAAATAGGTGTTTACCATGAGACCATTACTTTTGGTAGTAAATGGTAACAACATTTTAGCCATTGGAAGTTAAATCCAATATATTGAAATGTGCCGCAATATTCAAAAAAATTTATTTTGGATATTGTGTTCATCCTCAACTACCCAATTCCACAAGTAGCGGGGAATAATAACTATAACTACCTTGTATTTAAATAAGGAAAAAATACATGCTACCTTATAATATAGAACTACGGATGCCATGCCCCTCAAAAATCCATTGAAAGACCCTTTAATTGATCATTGTATGACTTTGAAAAATAAAAAGATTTCAAGTCTCAAAAATAGTGCATTTTACAACATATTATCTACGCCATCCTTTTTCAAGATTTTCATATGTTTATAGATCTACTTGATTTTAACCATTTTTTAACTTTAAAATTTTATAATTTGATATAAAAATAGATTTTGAGATAATCCCAAGAACATTTTACATCAAAATTATATAACATGTTAAAATTTGAAGGTGCACCTTACCTCTACACCTACCGATGCATCCGCATGCCAACTGCATCCTTAAAATAAATATTCTCCCTATATACATTTCCTTCAAATATGGTACATCTTTTACGGAACAAAACCTTCCAATTAAAATAAATGATGCAGATTGCTATGTTACTTCTACAATTAGAATTCCCGCCTTAAATGAACTCTCTTTGTAAAATGAGGTTGAAGCATAAAATTATCCCTTTCAGGCCTTAATGCCACTGTCCACGGAGATTCAGTACCATAAGCCCAAATTTCATATAAAAAATTAAAACTAGTGACAAAAAGTATTCTTTTTTAAAGTCTTAACTCAGTAACAATCATTAAAAATTTAAGCCATGATTCTAAGTGGTCCAGTTAAACTTTTTTAAAAAATGTACGAATGAAAGGCTCAAGCCTTAATTGAGAGAGAGAGAGAAAGAGGAAAAGAAAATTACGTAAAATGCAGTTACTGTTCCTGCTGAATCGCCTGGAATGAGTTTGATTTTCATGCTCACGCGCCCAAACATATACTTGCTCTTGGAAGCGAATCCACAACCTTGGAATCAAAAGACACCGATGAAGTGAGAGAAAAATTTTGATAATGTCTCAATGAAAGAATCTCTCTCTAAAAAGAAAAAATGGAGAGAGAAATAGAGAAAGTCTTTGATAATGTCTAAAGCAGAGTGTCTCTGGATAGAGCCATGGGGTAGAGAGAGAATGTTGAGTGTGAGGAAGAGAGAGAATTTGCTAGAAGTGTCATGAAGAGAGAGAGAGAGAGCGCCTCCTACGAGAGAAGGAGTAAGGGAGAAGCTGAACTTTAAAGAAAGAGTTAAGAGGCAGTTTAATAAGCAAAGAGAGAGTTATTTAGAGAGAGAGAGAGAGCGTGATAAACTCAAATGGGATGTCTCCTTTCCTTTAGAGATAAAGAGAGGGAAAGTTCCAAAGAGCACGACTACCCCTTAAAAAACTCAGTGGAGACTCGATGCTGGTGCTCAAAAAGTTCGGTGTGTTGAATCGGTCTCCCTCTTTCAAAAGTCAAATCAGAAAAAAAAAAATTGGGGTAATTCGGTCCGAGCGAAGTAGTCGGGTCAGTCACCAGCTAATTTAGAATTGAACCGAGAAAATCGGCTCATCCGAACCCATATTTAAACACTGATTGAGATACAATGAAAGAGAAAAATGTTTAGAAAGAGATAAAAAGAAGTGAGAGAGAGAGAGAATTATATACCAGACGTTTGGTCTAATGTGAGCTGAATGCCTGATCCATTCATCAATTGCTTGATGTGGGCATCAGACCATGTCACTCTAAAATCCTGCAGAAATGTAGCAGGGCGTCCATAGCACTTCCCCACAACAAGCAATTGCAGAAAAACTAGAGCGAGAAACCCCATCTCCACTCTCTCTCTAAAACTCTAGAGCGAGAAACACAAGGACCCCCACACACACTCTCTAATGCGAGGAACGCACTGAGCACTACTCTCACCCGTGAATCCCCACACACACACTCTCTCTCTCTCTATAACTCTCGGAAACCCTCTCTCTCTCTAGAAATTCAAGAGCGAGAAACAAATGGACCGCTGCTCTCACTCTTTATACTCTCACTGTAAGTGGCGTCGCTGTCCCTATTACAGGGAAAGCCGTCGGCGAAACTGGCATTGTAGGTGACGTGTCCCAATGCCAGCTCACTACCAGCTTGGAAAGGACCCCACCACGACGTCATATTCCGATTATGTGACGAGTCAGAACGAACGCTCCTGATTTGCTGGCTGTAGTGACGTGGCAAGATACTCGCTTCTGATTGGCTGGGGGGCTATATAGGTTCCCTTGCTTCGAGGTGGCCTTCATGATCCGATGTGATACAGTCCTTTATGTAACCAGGCGATTTTGAAAGGATAGGGGGGAGGAATAAATAGTGGGCCCCACAGGATGGACACATGGCTGGATTGGTTTGGTCCACGTGTGTGTCGGTGACTCTGATCCTCAGGAGGAGGGTTGAGCTAAATGGACGGTGATGACTGTTTGTGTTTGATATGTACGGCTGTAGATTGATGGTGACTCATCCAATCTCGAATTATGGCCCTCCATTCTTTGTAAGGGGAAATTTGAGAAAACAAAACAAATAGGTGGATATCGTAGGCTCATTTAAAATGATCATAAATAATGGGTGCGATTTATAAGGCTTGTGCCTCACGATAAAAAGTAAAGCCTCACCTTGAAATGCTTCAAGAATATACATTTTTTGGCATAAGAAATTCTTAAAATGGCCTTAATTTCTATTACAAATTATAAAATTTAAAACTTTAAAAATGATGCACATCTAACGACTTTACATGACACTTAAAAATAGACAATGATGTGTTACAATATTTAGATGCTCTAGTTATTGTAATCTTACAAAATAAAAGTATTTGATATAGGAAAAAATTTACATAGAGCCAAAGCTCTAAACAATCAAATTATCACCCGCCTCAAAATTTTCACTAGAAGAGGTTGTTTTGATGCCTATATATCCTCAAATTGATTATCTCGACATCAAGATGCATGGATATGAGGAAAAATAGATTTCAAGTTTTGGAAATAGTGCAACTTGTAATGCATTTATTTAACGTCAACTTTCAAGAATTTCAAGTTTTCATATATATGCTTTATCTAACACTATTTTTTAAGCTTTAAATTTTATAATTAAATATAAAATATATTTTAAAACTATCATAAAGACTTTCAATATTAAAACTATATTTCTCAATACCAGTTTAAAAAAACGCCGAGTCGAACCGAACTCGCCCGGTTCGACTCGGGAATCGCTATGGGGGGATCGAATCGGTTAAAAACACGGGAATCGTCCGGTTCTAGAGAGAACAGGACGATTCTGCATAGTGACTTGCCGATTCACTGTACGGAATCGGCGAGTTCGTGAATAACACGAGTTGCACAATGTTCTTCACGGGATTCTTCGAAATTTGTCATTTTTCTTGTTTTTTTGGCATGTGATCTAATTTGCAGGCTGTAAACAGCTTTTACATGGATTAAATGGTTGAAAATTTTGGTGTTTTTGGATCATGAAACTTGCATTTTTAGGGTTTATGCCTTTCTTTGTGTTTCATGCCAAATAGGGCATGAATCTTTCAAGATTTGTAGGCATTTTGATCGTAAAGTTGTGCATCAAAACCTTTTGTTACTAATTTGTGATAATCGTTGAGAAAAACATAGTTTTTTTGAGATTGAAGGCTTCGGTTCACAAAATCAGGTAAGAAGTTTGGGTTTTTTTTTTTTTCCGCCATATGATTTATTTCACGATATATTTTGAAGATAATGAGTTCAATTTGTAGGGTTTTTAATCTTTATTGTGTCTATTATAATTTAAATTTTCCAATTTTATGTAATTTGGTCAATTACAACATAAAATTTGAGATGAACACAGAGATGTCTGCCGAACCAAAATTCCGTTGTTTTTTTTTTTTTTTTTTCTGCATTTTGATTTTTTTTTCATGATATATTAGAAATAATGTGTTAAAAATTTAGGGTTTTGATTCCTTATATTGTTGTTTATCAGAAAATATACTCAATTGGATGTAATTTATTCACTTAGAGGTGGATTTTTTTAGTTAAAATGGCTCTGTGAAGAACATAACTTT